GGAATACCAAAACATATGCATAATTGGAGATTTTAATGCAATTGTAAACATAGAGAAGGACTATAGGAGTTGTAAACATAATAAATCCAGGAAAAAAACACTTCCAGAAACATTTTATGATATAGTAGAAGAATTTCAATTACAAGATGCTTGGAGGGAACTCAATTATGATAAACAACAATACACATTCTATTCAAATCCACATCAATCGTGGTCCAGAATTGACATGGCTTGGATGACAGCAGAGCTTATAGCAGACATTAAACAAATAGAAATTACAACAAACACATGGGCTGATCATAGCCCCATTGAAATAACATGGAAGGGACACCAAAAGCGTAAAAGATGGATGATGGATAGAGATATTATAAATGACAAACAATATGTGGATATGATCCAAAAAGAATTGAAAATATTTCTACAAATTAATGTGAAAGAGCACACCAGTCTACAAAATCTATGGGACACAACCAAGGCATATATCAGAGGCTTAACAATTGCCTATACTGCACAAAAAAATAAAAACAAACAACAAATAAAACAAAATTTACAGACAATATTACATCAATATGAATTAGATCTACAGAAACAGCCATATAATCAAGAAATTAAGGAGAAAATAAATTTAACAAGGCATAAATTAAATTTGATCACAACAACAGAAATAGCAAGAAAAATAAAAATCGCTAAACAAAACCAATTTGAACATGCAAACAAAACTGGACGGTGGTTAGCATATAAATTGAAAATAGAAAAACAGAGGAATATTATAATACAATTAAAAGATGTAGATGGTTGTTTATACCAGAATATTGAAGACAAAAAACGAATTGCAAAGGAATTTTTCAAAAACTTATACGCAAAGGAAGAGATTAGAGAAGAAAATATCATAGAATATTTAAATAAAATAAAGATTCAAGAATTAGAAGAAGAACATATAGAATTATTGAACAGACCAATCTCAATGTTAGAATTAATAGAAGCGAGAAAGAAACAAAAAAATAACAAGACACCGGGAACAGACGGTATACCGGCAGAGTTTTATAAGACATTCCAACAACCATTGGATGATATATTAATACAAGTTTTCAATGATGCATTAATGGAAGCTGAAATTCCGAAGTCATGGAATGAAACAATAATCACATTAATACCAAAACAAGATTCGGATCCCACGGAAATTAAAAATTATAGACCAATTTCTCTTCTCAATGTAGATTATAAACTATTCACATCAATTATAACACAGAGATTGAAAAACCTAGTCAAATACTATATACATCCTGATCAAAATGGTTTTATTCCGGGAAGACAAATTCATAACAATACAAGAACAATTATTGACACTCTGGAATTCTATGAGCAAAGATCGGAAAACCAGTTAGCTTTAATTTTCCTAGATGCGCAAAAAGCATTTGATAATCTCAACTGGACATTTCTATTAGCACAATTAGAAAAAATGAAATTTGGAGAAAGATTTATAAAAATGATTAAAAAGATATACAACACCCAAACAGCAAAAATACAAATTAATGGCGATACAACTGAACAATTTGATATAAAGAAAGGAGTGAGACAAGGATGCCCATTATCTCCTATATTGTTTATATTAACATTGGAAATATTACTAGAAGAAATCAGGAAAGATACAGAAATAACTGGACTAAAAATAAAAAATCAAGAATATAAACTGCAAGCCTTTGCAGATGATATAGTATTCATTTTAGATAAACCCATACAATCTGGACCAAAATTAATGATAAAAGTACAACAATATGGAGAAGTAGCGGGATTGAAAATTAATAAACAAAAAACTAAAATTATAACAAAGAATCTTAACAAGTATCAAAAAGAAGAATTGGAAAATATATTAGGGATACAAATAGCAAAGAAAGTTAAATACTTAGGAATATGGATTACAAACAAAATATCAACTTTGAAGGAAGACAATTATATTAAATTAGCTAAACAAATAGAAAAGGATTTGGAAAAATGGGCAAAACTCCAATTGTCTCTTTTAGGCAAAATTGCTACCATTAAAATGAATATTCTGCCAAGAGTGTTATACTTATTTAGGGTAATACCAGTAAACCCAGGAAGAACATATTTTAAAGATTTAGACAGAATGATATTAAAATTTATTTGGCAGGGGAAAAAAGCAAGAATCAAATTAAAACATCTACAAGACAAAAGAGAGAGGGGGGGAATGGGACTCCCTGATTGGCAGAGTTATTACAAAGCCTCAGCGTTAATATGGATAAAAGATTGGATCGAACTCAAAAACATAAGAACATTAATATTGGAAGGTTTTGACTTAACAAGAGGTTGGCATGCATATCTTTGGGGAGAGAAAATTACAAAACAAGAACAATTTCGCAAACATATTGTAAGAGATAATTTGCTTAAAATATGGAATGAAATCAGAAAATATCACTATGATAGGATTCCTAGGTGGACTTCCATAATGGAAGCACATATTTATCCAAATACAATAGATACAAATAAATTAAAAACATATAAGGACATCTTAAATGAAGAAGGAAAACTAAAAACAAGAGAAGAATTGAGAATGCAAAATGTGGAAATAGAGTGGTGGTCATATTTGCAATTAAAATCCAGATATAAGTCTGATATGGAAAAAACTGGAATTCAAATGGAACCAAATCAGTTGGATAAAATTTTATTAGGCCCCAATGAGAAATTAATAACCAAAATTTATAATTTTCTATTGGAATATAAACTAGCAGAGGAAGTAGTTAAAGAGAATATGATCACATGGGCGACGAATTTTGGGTATGCAATAGAATTAAATAAGTGGGAAAATTTGTGGAAAAATATTAATAAATTAACATTATCTGTACCATACAAAGAAAATGCTTATAAATTGTTCTATAGATGGCATCTACCACCGGCGCGAATTTCTAAAATGTTTCCTGGCACATCTCCACTCTGTTGGAAATGTAAAGCGCATAAAGGGACATATTATCATATATGGTGGTCATGTTCCAAAGCTAAAAAATTCTGGAACAATATAAAAATGCAACTAGAACAAATAATAACTCAAAAGGTGCCATTAAAGCCAGAAACTTATTTATTAGGAATACCTACAAGCAAATATGAAAAAGAAATAATATATTTAATAACACACATTTTGACTGCAGCAAGAATTATATACGCACAAAATTGGAAACAAGAAGAGGTCCCGACTCAAGAGAAATTAATATCCAAAATTATGGAATGCGCTGAGATGGATAAACTTACCAAGGAGATCCAAGGAAAAGAAGAATCTGAATATTATCTAGTCTGGCAAAAATGGTATAAATGGTTAGAGGGAAGTGGAAAAAGAAGAGAAGAAGAAAGAAAGAAAAATTGAATAAAAGAAAAGATATCAATAGAGTAAAATAAAGTTTTAAATCAAATGAAATTTAAGAAAGAGACACGAGATATCAATAAAATAATATCATTATATAAGGTGAGAGAAATATTGTATATTGAAGAATATAGGATATTGATATTGTAACAATTCAGATATTATAGGTAGATGTTATAAAGATGATGTTTGTTGTAAATTGTTTTACTTGCATTTATAAATGTATTATGTGGTTTCTTAAATTAATAAAAATTAAAAAAAAAAAAAATGGCATTTCCCTAAAAGGCAATTGTATTTCCTTGGAGAAAATAAGCACAACAATTCAAGACATAGAGGGCCAAGCTAAAACTTCAACAGACTCATCAGGTAGCAGAAATGATAAATACTCATTTATGCTGCAGCAATAGGAATATGGGCCGTCTTCTGCAAACAACTTTTCTCTTGCGCAACTTGTCAAACCTGGTCTATTAATTAAGCTCATTAAAGAGAATATTGGCAAGATGCATGCATTTAAAAGATCCATGGGCTAGGAAGTCCAGTCCATCATTCCTAGTGAAATGGATGGAAGTTGATTGCCCTGTATAATTTATCAGCAAAAAGCACCTCTCAGCATGGAGGTGAAAAACATGACGTCAGCCACATGATCCAGTTTCTTTTTGTTAGGATTTCATTTATTTAGAATGTCGTTTATCCCATTATTAGTTAAAAGCAGGTTTAATATTCTTTGATTCCTCCTTACCTTGATGTTTTGATGATAGTGTTTACTAAATTCTTACGTATCTGGGATTAGTTTCTTATACTGGGAATCCTTGAGAATATATTCATCTTCTCCACATTTAGCTCCTGGGTTCTTCATTGTCTCTGACCTTTCTCGCCTTTGAAGCTCATCCTTGTTAGCATTGAGGCAAATCTGAAGTTGTCTAGGGAGAATCTCAATCATCCAGATCATGGTTGTCCCAAAGGTGCTTTTTCAAAATGAAACCTTTTTCGAACGTTTTGCAAAATGTTTCATTTCTCATCCAAGAAGCTACTTCTGTTCTGCAGAACTGAAAAAGCTTCATGCATGAGAAGCGAAACCTATTCAAAGAAAAAAACCAAGAAAGTCCAGTTGTCTTTTGAGAAAAGCACATTTAGGACAAATCTGAAGTTCTTCCCTTGTTTTTCCTCCCAGCTTCACAATAAGGAGAGGTCAGGTAAATAACAGAATAACAGAACAGACTTTGGAGGTCTTCTAGTCCAAGCAGGAAGCCCTATACCATTACAGACAAATGGTTGTCCAGTCTCTTCTTAAAAGCCTCTAGTGATGGAGCAGCCACAACTTCTGAAGGAAGCCGTTCCACTGGTTAATCGTTCTCACTTAAATAATTAATATTTAAAAGGAAATAACAGTGAGTATTCTTATATTCAGTTTTCCCTGATCTCATCGCTAACTTTTAGTATTTTATGTGCCCTATGTAAATGTAACAGAGACAACTGCAGCATCCAGTGAGTTTGTCCAAATGAGAAAAGCGGTATGGAGCTATTGTGATGCAAGCTCTGGCCTATGTGCAACATCACAATGCGCATACAAAAGGGACTAAACTTGTGTTATGTTGGTACAGTGCTGCTTTCATCATTTGGTGCACACACAGAGAGATGCCTCCAGGTATTTTCTCTCTCAGGACTCAATTCTACATATGTGATGAAGTGAAGGCCAGAAGCTGCTTGCCCATAAAGGTAGGCCAGTTTAGGAAACAGATATTGATTAGGACTACTAGAATTCTTATTGTAGGATATAATAAGAGAAACTTGAAATTCTGCCAAAATTTCCTTCTATCCTGTCCTATACCTACAGAATCAAGGCAGGTATGGTTCTTGCATACCTTCACCAACTTTTTTATTTATTTATTTATTTAAAAATTTGATTTATATGCCGCCCTTCTCCGGAGACTCAGGGCGGCTTACAATGCGTTAAGCAATAGCCTTCATACTTTTGTATATTTATACAAAGTCAGCTTATTGCCCCCATAAACTGGGTCCTCAGTTTACCTATCTTAGAAAGGATGGAAGGCTGAGTCAACCTGGAGCCTGGGGAGATTTGATCTTACTTTAATTGCAGACAGCTGGTGTTAAATTACAGAGCTCTGTGTGTTGAGCTATCCAGGCTCTGGATAGCTCAACAGAGCTAAACAACTTTATTGCTGTTTTCCTCTATAGAACTGGAATTATATTAATATTCAACTAAATGAGAGTTGAACTCTCTCAGATCATAAAACAAAACATTATTAAAGTTGGGAGGGACCTTGAAGGTGTTCTAGTCCAACCTACTGGTCAAACAGAGACCCTACACCATGCCAAACAAATGGATGTCCAGTCTCTTTTTAAAAGCTTCCACTGATGGAGCACCCACAACTTCTGAAGGCAAGCTGTTCCACTGGTTGATTGTTCTGACTGTCAGTAAATTTCTCCTTAGTTCTAGGTTTCTTCTCTCCTTGATTAGTTTCCATCCATTGCTTCTTGTTTTGTCTTCTGGTGCTTTGGAAAATAAGTTGACCCCCTCTTCTTTGTGGCAACCCTTCATATATTGGAACACTGCTATCATGTGTCCTTCTGTGCCCTAGTCCTTATTTTCATTAGAGTAGACATACCCAATTCCTGCAACTGTTCTTCATGTTTTAGCCTCCAGACCCAACAACTTTGTTGTTCTTCTCTGCACTCTTTCCAGAGTCTTGATATCTTTTTTATTTTGTGGTGACCAAACCTGGATGCAGTATTCCAAATGTGGTTTTACCAAGGCCTTATAAAGCAATACTAATACTTCATGTGATTTTGATTCTATCTCTCTGTTAATGCAGCCTAGGATTGCTTTGGCTTTTTTGGCAGCTGCAGCACAGCTGCTGTCTCATATTTAAGTAATTGTCCACTAGGACTCCAAGATTCCTCTTGCAGTTAGTGCTATTGAGCCAGGGTTCACCTACTCTGTACCAGATTAGCATTTTTTATTTTATTTTTTTGCTTTTAAAAGAAAAAAAAAGCCTCTGACGATCAGGCAACTCAGCTGGATCATCAGGGCCTTTTAAAAGCATTTGTTTACAACCTCTTCAAATGCTTTTAAAAGTAAAAAAGAGCCTCTGATGATCGCGCGGCTCAGCTGGGCATGTGGAGGGGGCAGGGATTTTTGCTACCGGTTCTCCGAACCACCCGCTGCCATCGCTATCGGATCGGACAATCCGGTCCAAACTGGTAGCATTTCACCCCTGGACTACATGTTAACTGCAGTTTGTCAGCCAGTTACAAAACCAGGGTCAAAATTTTCTTTCATTGCTTTTTTTTTCAACATATCAAAAGAGAATGTCAGATATTCCTTACTTTATTAATTTTAATTAATTTATACAGTTAAGTAACATGGTGAAAGTGAAGCTCTCAAACCTCTCCATTAAGACATGGAACTCTGACTGTTCAGCTATTCAAAATCGGAGTCTGAATTACATCTTTTTATCTATATCCGTGAGGCAGAATTAAGTATTGTTTAATGGTCTCTTCATATTTAATGGCTACACCGCAGGTAGGAACCACATCATGCTGAGATCACTGTGTTGGCTAAACCAGTCCTATGCAAGTAGCTCAGAATTTCATACATTTTTAAAAGAAAGTCCACACATTTCATCATCAATAGGATAGCCAAACTGTATTAAGAAAGAAAGAAAGAAAAAGGAAGGAAGGAAGGAAGGAAGGAAGGAAGGAAGGAAGGAAGGGAAGGAAGGAAGGAGAAAGAAAGAGAAAAAAGGGGAAGGAAAGAAGAAAGGAAGGAAGGAAGGAAAGAGAGAAAGAGAAAAAAGAAAGAGAAAAAAAGAAAGAGGAAGGAAGGAAGGAAGGAAGGAAGGAAGGAAGAAGGAAGGAAGGAAGGAAGGAAGGAAGGAAGGAAGATTTTGCTTAACCAACAAGTCCCAATTGTGCTTGCCAAATGAGTACTACTTGTACTTATGAGTGCTACTTGTATTTATTTATTCAGTGCTGTTATTGTATAAAGTCCTGTACAAAATGAAGCAATTCTCCACTGAGGGATTCTGGATCAAGAACAATCTATTTTACAAAGTGAAGGTTATCTGGGAAACCCTTGAGGACCAGAGATGGTTTTGAGTCACTGGCCCAGAGTGCCAAAACATATGGAACACCAACTCTGCCTCTCCTTCTGAATCAGTCAAAAAACCTCAACTGCAGGAGATGGTGCCATTGGTCAATGTGGCCTAAGGGCATCATTTGTCAAGTGAGCAGGCACAGGTGAAGGCCAAAGGTAGAAATGCCTCTAAATGACAATAGAGTACTAGTCAAATGAGGTGAGAAATACTCATGGTATGTTTTGCAATGGCATTAAATCAGGAGAAGCACTAGCCTAAAGCATAATGGGGTGAGAGGGAAGCATGGGGTCCTACTCAGGTTTCCATGATGTGAAAGTGATGACACACATGCCACAACACCAAAGTGTGATTTGAACAATTACATCACACTATCTCCTAGCCCCAGTCCCCCAGGTGCCTATGGGGCACAGGGCTTTGTTAAGCAGCAGGTTAAGTCCCTATATGAGTAAGCAACCACTACACTTACAATGGAATGGGACAATTTACCGCAGCCAACTTGCTGCAGCCAACTCGCCAAGAGACAACTCACCATGGCCAACTCACCACAGGCCAACTCGCTGCAGAACAATTCAACAATTCAATTTAATTATTCAATTTTTTTTTTTAAAAAATAAATTTTTAAATTTTTAAAATTTTAAATTATTTAAAGTAATTAAAAATTATTTTAATTTTTGCATTCACATTTTATTTTGTCCTTCCTTTGGCATACTTTTGATTAATGATTCTATTAGGCTATTTCTTTGATATTAGTGTAACTCTTGTCCCGTGGCTATAGAGTTGGCTATGGTGAGTTGGCCATGGCAAGTTGTCATAGACCCCACTTACAAGGCATTGCTTTCTGCTTTTGATTGGTGGCAGAAATCCATTTCATTTTCATTAATAGGGAAGTTACAATCCATTCATAACATGGCTTGATGAAGAAACATTTAAATCTCACAATCTTCAAAGCAATTCTTATTTAACTTTTTGTTTTTTAAATGACAGCAAATCTGAGTTTTAAACTGTGGCTACCGAAGTGCATGTTTTATCTCTGTTCCCACCAAGAAGCACAAAATGTTTGCAGTGATAATTTCCAACACATCATGAAATAGGACAAATCCTTCTTTTCTAATATTTTTTTTTAAATGCAAGTAATAAATCCCCCACCCCACCCCATGGTTTCCTTTCCATCTTATTTTCATATGTGATATATCCAAGGAAATACTTAGTATGCTAAGGTACTTTCTGTGCTGACACATACTGAAAAAATATTCAAGTGCCATCTAGAATAAAGCTTTGCCCATTAAAATCTAAATGGAGCAGATGATATTTTCGAGAACTAATTCCAAAGGCTCCGTTAAGTGTGATTCCAAAAATAAATTAGAGTTACCCAGAACTTGTCATGATACCACGGATGTATCTTCATTTCCCTTTACCCCATTATATAAAGCATACAAAATCAGCTAAATAAAATGATGAACCTTAATCACACAATTTAAGCTAATGAAAAGAGTTTGATTTACCAAGAGTGTCGGAAACTCGGCAGAATATTGCTGCGTGGGGCAGATGCCAACAGTTTCCCCTCTACTCTTGCAACAAATGGAGTTTGCTTTGCTTTGCTATCTTCTATAAAGGAAGCAAACGAAGCAGGGGGAAAAAGGGGCGGGATACCCATTGCTACCACCTCAAAACTTCTAAGAGTAAAAGAAGGTGTTCAAGGACCAGTGATGATGATGTTTGCTACTCGCTAGTGCCACCACATGGAGCGTTCTTTGAAAATATATCCCCCCCCCTTCCCTAGAACTCCTGGAAGTGACTGTAAATGATACATTGCATCCCATACTTCAATAAGACAGCGAGGAGAAGATATCTAATCTTCTCTACTGTGTGCGGTTCAAAATACTTCCTCATGAAAAATGGAAAGCTCCCCTTTCTGAGAACATGATTGTGCCATAGCAAAAGCGGAGCAGTCAAACGGCTTTATACCACCAATAAAATAAAGAGACATTTTACCGGAGAGGTTAGGATGCATTACACGTTTTCTGTTTGCATTAGTTTATAAGAAACAGATGGTAAGTTTTTCTTTGGTAAGACAGGGAAAAAAAGGAGTTATAAATGAATTAAACTGACTCCCCCCCCACCTCTCCTGCTTGATCGGCTACTTGCTTCAGTCCTGCAAAATTGCATGTCAGAAAAGAAAAGATACTGAAATATAAAGTGATAACTAGGAGAACAAACTGTCCCGATGTGTGTGGGTGCTATAAACTATGTTTATAAAGAGGATTTGCTCTGGAACAGAGATGCCAACATGTGGCTTGCATACCGTGAATGCTGCCAGATATAAATGGATAAATTTATCCAAAACTATCTTGCTGACGTGGAAGGTGGAGTTGGGAAGAGGAGAAAGAAGAGACTTCTAAGCGAATTCTGTCCTGAAGATTAGTCTCTGATACTGAATTTAGTTATCAAAATTCAGTGCAAGTTGGAGGGGTGTGTGTGTGTCTACCCAATGAGTTTTTAAAAGAAATCGGACACATGTGCAAAAATCCTAATCGGCATGAGCCTTCATCCCAGGATTCTTCACATCACGTTTCTCATCTACAATATTAAACATTATTT